CACCCTTACCCCCTCACCCTCACCCCTCACCCCTTCACCCTCACCCCTTCACCCTCACCCCCTCACCCACAACCTGCCTCTTGCTTCATGATGGTATTTGTTAATTTACTTTAATCACACAAGAAGAAAAGTCTTTTATAAAGATCAAATGAATGCATGTAGACAAGCATTAAAAAATGTCCATTTGAAATTATGTATTGATCATTTATTGAATCCAATGTGAAGTATTGCTAATACACGTACTATGATAAAATGTAAGAACTTTATCATAAATATATAAATCAATTATATGGACTCTTATTGTGGTACATATTCACCAAAATGAAAATCTTTAACAGCTAAATTAGATACTTAATAATGCTTAAATCATTAAATATGATATAGAACATGTGAAAATTGTAAGGAGGAAAATACTGCATTTGGCAGGGAGTACTGTGATGTTACAATTGAAATGACGTCTAAAAGTGAATATTGAACTGCCATTTCTGATAATAGCAAGACCGAGTCAAAATCACTAATCACCAACCTCCTCATGATTATGACCTAACCAATGAGGATGTAGGAAAGGCATGTCATCTAATATAGAAGGCTGAAGTGTCCTATGATGGGTGAAAATTGAGTGGTATAAGATTTGGCTTGTTTTTTTTTATACAGAAGTGTTAAAAATATTTTGAAATCTATATGTATATGTAAATGGTGTACACTTTTGTTTCCAGACAAGTTTAATGCTACAACATTTGCTCCAGTTAAAATGGATTTCCAGGGAAACATACGTGTGAGTTTGAAATTCATTGTTCAGTGTAATTTTTGAATGAGTAAATGTAAAGACATAAGGAGTTGTTTTTATGTCCTCCTGTGTGATTTACAAATTCCTGTGAGGAAGATCAGTTGATCATGATCTCAAATGTATTGTGCACGATTTCTAAGGACTAGACTGGTGGGGGATGATTGATGAAAAATCACTTTGCCACCAACAATGCGCTACTTAGTCTAATCAGAACTTGGAGGTCAGAGATTAAATGTCAAGGGTATATAGGGGTTTCCAAATGGTTGGTTTATATCATATTTATGTAACTAATTTAATTAATTTTCAAATTGAATAAAGCACTATGTAAAAACAATTTTCAAATTGTAAAAAAAGGAGTTCCTTTACAATTTGAAAATTAACTAACGAGAGTTACATGTAGGTAAACATGATAACCAACCATCTTGAGTAAAGAGGACCTTTTTCTCTCACAGGTTCAGATATTATATCTAGAAAAAAAAACGTATGTTTCTCTTGAGAATATATTTTTTGTGTTTCCGAGCAGGGGAACAATTGCCATGAACTATAAGGTCACAATGGGAGACAACGTCGCAAAGCATTGTTACTTATGTTGAAATTAGAAGATTGGCGAATGAAATAGCATCTAGGGTGTTACCCACTAGCGGGAACCAACTTGTTTACCAACTCCTAGCAGGTTTATCCAATGAGTGGGGAGTGAGGAATATTGAAGAGAAAATTTGAATACCATCCAAGGGGCCTCCTATGTTTTAATACACAAGGGCTTCAATTGTTTCAATCTTACCTCGGAGCCCACAGCATGAGATGGTGTACTATTCATGTATATATGTATAGTAAATGTAACAAACAGACTAAGTAACTGTGTAATCATGTGTGTCACATAAATAAATATGTATCGGACTAACATAATAGACCCTACAAACAAAATTCTTGGAAAATGTTCACTTTAGAGGTCAAAGGTCAATGTGAAGGTCATGTTGAGGGAATCATAAAAAAAATATTGTGTGATTGATTTAATTTCTCATAAATTAATTGGTTAAAAGAGCATTGATGACATATTAAATATTTCATATAGAAGAGATAGTCCAGTGTTTGGTGGTAATTATACAGTATAAGTATGTATTTAGTTTGATATCATTGTAGAAAAAGACATATTTCTGTAATTTGTATTTAGTTTTTAAGAAAGTGAAAACTACATTCAAGAATGTTTTTGATTAGAAATTTACTTAATCAAAATTAATTGATAAGCAGTATTTAATACATTAATAAAATGCATTATAATACCATACTGTATCTCTGAATATTCACATTTAGGAACTTCTGACATATGTCATTTCAGAAAATACAACAAAAATATTCTACAAAGCCAAGTGACTTTACAACACTACAGCGTATGGTGTTGTTTGAGATGAGGTCCCAACAGCATCACCTGTCCAGTTCAGCCACCGTAGCACTGCTGTGGATGAAAAGGTAACTTCATCAACACAATTTGAATTACAGATAATTCCTATCTGGGAAACCCTCAAAATTTTGGCATTTTAAAAAGAGTTTGGCATTATGTTGAGAGAATGGTTAGGGGAGGGGGTGAGGGAAACTTTACATAGCGGACCTGGAATATTGGTAATGCAAGAGCCTGGTGGCTAAGATGTCTCAATATATATTGAGAAATGTTTTATTACATAATGTACCATGTACTGGTTTTGTTTTATGTTTTGAAATAAGTTATTTTGAGCAATTTTCCTATTTTCAATATGAAATTGGTATGTTGTTATGAAAAAAACTATGTTGCACAAATAAATGATCATGTGATCAGGCAATATTAATTTTTATTGCACAGTCACATGATCAACAGATAGTCACATGATCAACAGATAGTCACATGATCAACATATTCCAATTTTCTTAAAGTAAAAGAAGACGTTTATTTCAAGCGTTCCATTTCCATTGTCTGTCTTGTTGTTAACCTGTCACCCGGCTGTCAAAATGACAGAGGAGTTTCTCTGCTACTGCGATTTAAAAAGGCTCTTGAAAAGATAATTGTCTAACATGACACAGTGGGTCATATTTCGAGTTCTCCCAATAAAAACCCCACTTTCGTGTTTGATTAGTTGCAATATTAAACAGTGTTTAGTTATGTTGCTTATTGTAATGGTTTGTTTAAAAATTGTTCACAATAGGATCACATTTCCGCACCATCATGGTCCTATGGTCCTGCTCGAACAACAGGAAACCTCGGCCTGTTTAACAGTTGTGACTCTGTGAAAACTTGTGTATGATTCATTTCTAATTTTATTTAACATTTTTTTTTTTTTTTATTCATCTTCCAGAGGCCTAGAGTTTATCAGAGCGATATTTCAAGAGATGCTCGAAGGACAGCCTGATCTATGTTTAGCAGTCAATAATGCGTACAGTCGGACACTCAAACCATTCCACGGCTGGGTAGTGCGAGGAGTGTTTGCCGTTAGTATCATTGCTTGAAACTTTACTGTAGCTTATGTATATAGTAAAATAAAATCATTTAAAGACCCCTGTCACACCGCAGGCAAAACACTATAGAATTACACTGTGCTTCAAGCTATAGGATTCAGGGATGCCCATAGTTCTACTATCTCACCTATTCCGTCTTTTCGTATTGCAGAGTTATCTGCTCTTGTGAGCAGGAATTGATTGTTACGTCATTTGTTTGTGTGAGTAACGTCATCAATTTTTGAGAAAACGACGTTATTTTCTCACACAAACCAATGACTTAACAATCAATACCTGCTCACAAGAGCAGATAACTCTGCAATACACAAAGACAGAATATTTGCATAGTAAATTTGAAATTTTTCACTTGTCCTAAAATGAAAACTACTAGCCCAGAGCGCTCAGCAACAGTGAAATTGTACACTGCTGAATGATATCAAGGTTTAACTGTATTTCATAACTCTTTTTCTATACACATTTAAACAAAACCTGATATATTCTATTTCTTGTTTAGTTTATTGATTTAAATCCTTGCAGATCTGATGATTGTAACGTCGTTGTGAAAACGGTGTGATATACGCTAATGTTATCCATTACAGGTAGCTGTGAAGGCTTTACCATATAAGGAAGTCTTTATCACACAGCTGAGGGCGACCGGACACCCAGGAGAGGGGTCGATCTTCCTCCAGTCTCTCATGGCCGACCTCGACAGTTACTGCACTGCTCTCGACGAAGTCATCAGGATCCTCAAGGACTTCTACAAATCACATTCTCTCGACAACGACGAACAAATCTGATTGGTTTAGTTTTTCATCATCATCATTACAAAGCTTTGTCACAAAGTAAAGCAGTAAGATGCTGTTAACACTAACATATTTGTATTAATATGAAGGTGTATTAACCATTTTGCCCAATGCTTTCATTCATAAGTGATTGCGGCTATATGTATTTAGCTTTCTTTTGTTAAAGCTATAAAGATTTTTAATACTGTGTATTAACTAATAGCTTTCCTCAATATTCAATTTGACAGAAGCATAAAAATTTCAAAATTAAATTTCCCACCTTCATCCTCCAACACCTGGTACAACGAACATGTTTTACACTTTAGGAAAGAAAGATAAAACAGTGCAAAAAAATAGATTATACCCAAAAATGAAAGATAAGGTGATGATTTTGAAATACTTTGATGAATTTTCCAAAAATCTCAATCGTTATGTATGAAGTGGAACATTAAGGAAAATAAAGAAAAAGAATTATAAAGAATAATTTGGATTACAATATCTATTACATGTGCAATAAGTACACCCCTGTTAAATTTTTGTTCATCACCCACTGTGAGATCATAATGCATACAATTTACATGAGGTAGTAATATTATGACGTCACATTGCAAACATAAGAAATGACGCTATGTAGGTGACGTCAGAGGGTTGAGAGGGTTTTTGTTTAAATATTAATATACATTCTCGAAAATATGATAAAAAAATATCTCAAATTTGTTTTCAGTATCATATGAGATTGATGAAATTTGTCTCAAACTTGTCTTCTTTTCTAGAAGAGCCTTGCAAAAAACAAAAACATCCAGGTTTGTTTTAGAAATGTCATATTCATTTTCCATCACTTGTACAAAAGATGAATTATGAAGGGGACCATTGTTTTCTTTGGAAAGGAAGAGTACTATATCCAAGAGGTGCCATTTTGGTAGAACCGTATGCAGTGATGTTGCTCATTGTTGTTTCAGAATATTTATTGTTCAGATCTTTGATGCCAAGGAATTGGGTAACAGGCAAAGCTTGTGAGCCTATGCTTATTGTTTTGTGTGCGTCTACTTCACTACTACTAGTCATTACAGTTGAATCTTCTTAAATAATGTTTTAGAAAATAATTTGTGTGAAGTTATGTTACTGCTTTTCTTTAGTGGATCATTTGTGGTTTTCTATTGGGGTGCAAATTTTCTTTAATAGCATGATCAGGAAGTTTTCAAGAATATTAAATAAATGAAAAATAAGGAAGTTTATTTACAAATTAAACTTGATTTTCTGTAGCTGTTTGTTAATGCGAACAAACTGGTTTGTCTACTTTTAACGCGATATTCCAGGAAGAAAGCCTTATGGACCTGTAAATGTTAATATATTAATTCATAGTCTTTTTCATAGTTTCAAGAAAGCAAAATGAGTTCCATTAATTTATCTCTGCCCATATTTCATAATCAAACCATTCTGGTACAACCAGTCCAGGTGTTTGAAAGGCGATACACGATTGTGGCCATGATTTCCTTTCTTTTTTAGTACTTATCCAAGACCTTGAACCTCTATTTTCACACATATATAAATATTCTGCTGTTATCGTATTATGTATAACATGCAGAATCACAAAATAATGTTTGGATTATTTGTAAACTAAATTCGGGTGTTTTTGATTCAAAGACTGATTTTCTCATACAGTTAGACCTTTCACGTCATGAACATGTGTATGGGGAGTCAGGTATTTTGTGTCAGACATACATTTCATACACTTTTTGAAATCCAGAATGTAACACCCCTCCCCGGTATACATATACCTATCTGTGGTAGGTCTGAATTTATCATGACTTTTCCAACTTACAATTTTATACAATGGCCTGATATTACTTGAATGCTGTGATAATAGAAGCCTATTTTACTTACAGTTGCTGGAATTGACTTGCCCCAACTCTCCCCTCCCCTTAAAAATAAGATAAACTTGGACTTCAGTAAAATGTACTGTGCTTTGATATTCCCCTCCCCCAGATTTTTTTAAAATAAAAGTTTCTGATTTGGGTGTGTCTATGTGTCCATCAGTCCCACTTAAAGTTTGGTCCAATTTCAAATTTCATAGCTGCAAAATTATCCTGAAAACCGGATGTAAATTCTATAAATTGATCAGAACAAGTATAAATGTTAAGCAAAGATTAATAGTCATATGTTAGAATCCTGCTGGACATGTGTAGCTGTGCCCTTGTACTTAGCTCAGTGCTCCTCACTGGCCTCTAGCAGGAATTGTTTCATTCAGAAAGGTAGCTATTCAATCCGTACAAAATATGGCCTGTAAACTACAGCCATTGAAAATGAGCTTAGAAATGTGCTGCTTTTACACCATAAAAAAATTGCTTTTCTTGCTCAAATGTTCAACACTTACATATTCTTTCTTTCTCCATTTCCTGGTTGATATTGAGGAGGAGGGGGGGATGTCAGTTGGTTCTAGCACATTAAATGTGACTTATCTCGGTCGTTTGTCCTCATTCCAATTGTTAGATATATTCTTGGTTACATCATATACAGCTCAAGTGATATCCAATTTAACTGTTGTTTACTTAATTTTTGTGGGCGCTTATTTTACTAGGTGTACTATTATCCTGATAAATTATGTACTCTAAGTCACATAATTTACCATTGAGGTTTAGGATTTGCAGCAACGTGTCTGTCTTTTATTTTGATGTACATGTATATATATGTTTGAATAAATATTTGAAGGACCTTTTTGTGTTTTTAAAGATGCGGGTCTTATTATTTAAGTAATATCCCAACAAGATTTTTTGTTAATATTATATAGAAATATAAAATAAATGTTAATATAAAAATTGATATAAACTTTATTGATTTTTTTCTTTTTCATTTACAGTATGATGTAAAGCAATAAACAATTGTTGAAATTGAATTTGGAAACAAGTTTCACAATTATGTAGATCTATCTCCAGTGAAATATAAAAATTAAGAGCCCTATGCGACTTTTTTGGTTTTGAAAATTGATATGGGGATCCACACGAATACTGATCCTTGAATTCACCATCGAAAGTTCTAAGGAATCAATAGTAAAATTTCTAGCTAATGAAAACGCTACTAACAGTGATCTTTGTACTGATATGCTGATCTGTTTCACTATATACAGTACTTATAGTCCTATATCTCATTATAGGATTACAGAGCAGTTGAACAAATATTTAGTCTGGACCATATTTGATATATTTATAGGATAAGATCTGGGATCAGACTGAATTTAAATGGATGTTTACATGTATTTATATTTTCCATTTTCCCACGAAAATTGTTGATTCCTTTGTATTTGTTAGTCTTCAAGATAAAATGGAAATAATGAGGGTGTGGCATCGTAGTGATTGCCAGGCAGATTTGTAGTCTCATAAATGTAATAAAGTTGAATGCAGTGGGAAGGAAATGTAAATATTAATGGGAGTTAAATAAAGGATTTCTTGAGCGTTTATATTTTCATATATGTATTGCGGTATCAGACATCAATATATGTATGTGAAGTGGGTAATATAAGTACAGACATGGTGATAGTAATTTAACTTTAATTTGCCTTGATATGAAGCAGATCAAGGATAACCTTCTTTTTTTCTGTCAGCGATGACATTGGAGGGGCACTTATACTTCAGAATATATGTATGATGGGGTTCTAAACAATTCTTAGCATTGTATAGTGGGCACCAGCTGGGAAAATAAAGATAGGTATACAAAAAAAAAAGTCATATATTATTGTAGGTCCTCCCCCTATGTATTTATTTCTGGAATAGCCTACTACATCAGTACTAAATAACGTACTTTAACTCCCATCATAGGTCAAGGAGGGGGTTCAAGGTAAACTTTAAAGGGCATTAGCTGATAATTTACATCATATGTGCAGATATTCGTGATTTTACATGATTTGTATTTCATATTTATAAGTATAGTACGTAATATAAGTCGAGTGGTTATTAAACTCAGTAGATATAACGATCATATAATTCCAAATGATGTCTATTAAACAAGGATTGCATGAATCTGTAAAAAAAAAATCCAAACAACAGTACATATAGATATTGTTTCAGTGTTTTGACTTCAAATTAATGGAATTGTCTGGATTGAAGCTTGAATTTCCGCCATTTTCATTCAGTGTGAATGGATATCGTTTACTTCCATATACTTTGCTATAAGTGCTCTTGTAGTATGGATAACAGCATTAACTGTCATGTTTTTTGTCAATCAGAAGTTACTGTTTCAAAAGTTTACATACAGTGCTTCATGACATAAGCTTGCAGAGAAATTGCAAGCATACCACAAGCTTGTAGACCAGGTGACTAGCATACCACAAGCTTGTAGACCAGGTGACTAGCTTACCGCGAGCCTTCAGACCAGGTGACTAGCTTACCGCGAGCCTTCAGACCAGGTGACTAGCTTACCGCGAGCCTTCAAACCAGGTGACTAGCTTACCGCGAGCCTTCAAACCAGGTGACTAGCTTACGGCGAGCCTTCAAACCAGGTGACTAGCTTACCGCGAGCCTTCAGACTAGGTGACTAGATTACCGCGAGCCTTCAGACCAGGTGACTAGCTTACCGCGAGCCTTCAGACTAGGTGACTAGATTACCGCGAGCCTTCAGACCAGGTGACTAGCTTACCGCGAGCCTTCAAACCAGGTGACTAGCTTTCCGCGAGCCTTCAAACCAGGTGACTAGCTTACGGCGAGCCTTCAAACCAGGGGACTAGCTTACCGCGAGCCTTCAGACAAGGTGACTAGCTTCCCGCGAGCCTTCAGACCAGGTGACTAGCTTCCCGCGAGCCTTCAAACCAGGTGACTAGCTTCCCGCGAGCCTTCAAACCAGGTGACTAGCTTACCGCGAGCCTTCAGACAAGGTGACTAGCTTACCGCGAGCATGCATACAATTTGACAAGCTAGTCACATGCTTGTGGTTAGCTCACAAAAAGCTAGTACTACCTTTCTCCAAGCTTAAACACACTTCTTATTAATGTCTATACTATCTTAACACTAGCTAGTAGCTAGCATGTTGCAAGCTAGTGACGAACATGTATTTCTGTTTGGGATGTGGTTAATTTAATCTTATGTAATAGGCTTGAAACACTTATATTTTATAAGTGCAAATATTATTTGTATCATGATGCAAAACAAATACAAGATAAGCTTGCAGTTTAAAGTATTGCATACCTTTTAAAAGAAATGACAATGGTCAATACATTCGTCCACGACCAGTGAGAATATGGCATAGGTATACAAGTGAGGTTTGTTTGAAAGTCCAAAATTATATCATTTTGAAAGGTTTTTTACAGACATTTTCTGTACTTCACTGTTTTTATGACAATTCCTAATTCCTGATTCAGACAATTTTATAGTTAAACCTATTTGGTTTAAAACAAAAAGTTCAGGAAGATCCAACTTACCTATAGATTGATAAGGTATTTTGTCATATTTTAAGCAGATTGAAATGTTCACAATAGTACATAGTGTATAAAAAGCACTTTCCTTTAGTATGACAGAATACTATGTATGTTGTGAGAAAAAACTCAATGTCTAGATATCAAAAAGGCCTGTTAAATGTTACCAGTGCAAGTATATCTGTTTATTGTGTGTACGAGAAGTACTTTGCTGTTGCTGATATTTTTGTCTCTTGTTTATGCATGATTAGTTATATGAAAAGTGCAGTTTAACCCTTCCACCCCTGTATGACTTGAGTAAACTGTACCATGTATTGGTCTGGATAAATTCATTATAGTCTACAGTGGTGAAAGGGTTAAGGTAAATTGTATAACACCTTTGAGTTAATAACTCACGTGACCATGAAAGTGACTGTGATTGCTGTGGAAGCTAAAGTGATAACCCCAGACAAACACATTTAACAATTTGTTTACATTTGTTTTTTTGTAAGAAATTTAGTGCTTTTGTTATTATTTTTTTACAGTTTACCATATTTCTCCGGCAATAAGCCCATGTCTGGTAATGAGCATGCCCATGTTGAAAACAGTTCAGAAATTTTAACAAATTAATGTTATCTCAATGTCCTGTAATAAGCCCATCCTGTTACCTTGGGGTCAGAGATTATGTGTTGTCCTATAATAAGCCCATCCTGTTACCTTGGGGTCAGAGATTATGTGTTGTCCTATAATAAGCCCATCCTGTTACCTTGGGGTCAGGATTATGTGCCGCCTCCCTGGTATTATTGCAGGATAAATACGGTAAAATGTTTGTTGTGTATATTTATTTTCTTTCTCCAGAAGTTGTGAAAAACTTGCTATATGTTCAGCTTGATTGGAAATCAAATGGTTTGTGATATTGATACCAAACTTGTCTTTATACATTGCTAAACCTTGCAGCAGAACTTGCTAATCAGACCTCAAAACATGCATTTCCATTTTTTTTTTTTTTTATTTCCCAAAGAATTTAAATCAGATACTTAATTTTACACATGCATGTAAACCTTCAAATTCTTTTAAGGGGTAAAATCATGGTGATCCCTGGTTCACTGTATGTATAATATTGGAGAATTCCACTTAGTTTTTCATAATGTATTTTTCATACATACAGTTATCTCCCCTTGATTATGTTTCGGATGTAAACTATAGCTTTCTATACAACGAAGTAATAGAATATGAGCAAAAACCAGGGTGTTTTTAGAGGAAATTTTGCTGAACTCAACCGTAAATTCTCCCTCTAGTATAGGGATACATGGGAAGATTTTTTTGTTTTGATACAATTAAAAGAGATATTTTGGTGTAATATCAGTGACAGTACATGTATATGCATATCACAACTCAGATGCTTATATTACCCATCAATATTTTGTTAAATTTTCTGGGGTATGTTTACTTTTCAAAAGAAATTGACTTCATAAAGTTAAAATGGTATCTTTGATAGGCCTAGGGCTGGTTGATGTCTCGGCTATGAAGAACATCTTGTCAATATTTTGTCTTGAATTCCAATTTTCAGACGATAGAAATATTATGTAGTTTTACAGACTGGGATAACCTGGTCTTACCACATCTACAAAGTTACTGAGTAATTATAAGGCAACATTTTTAATGTACAAATTATTTCTACAACGGTTATATGACTTTGTATATATCAGGCCGTTTCTAACGGTGCTGATTTAAATACCCCCCTAAATTAAGTGACAAACAAAAATAAGCCTGAAATAAAAGAAATTGGGCTAAGAAAAATATCTTTGATAAAAGTATAACCTTTTTTGACCTTATTATGTACCTATAAATACTATTCCGTCTGCATATTGCAGAGTTATCTGCTTTTGTGAGCAGGTATTGATTAGTACGTCATTTGTTTGTGAGATTAACGTCATCAAATTTTGAGAAAGCGACGTAATTTTCTCACACAAACCAATGACGTAACAATCAGTACCTGCTTACAAGAGAAGATAACTCTGCAATACCCAAAGACGGAATACACTCATCATTATCCTCAAAACTGTTGTTTTCAACCTCGTCATTATTACTGTCCTCTTCAGGTGAATTAAGTTTCTTAAAATAGTCATATAGGACGTCAATAGGTATGTCTAATGTAGTATTATTATTTGGTGAGAATTTATTAAGTGTTTATATAAAACTGTTTTAATATTTGCATTTGAAGTTTAAAATGTATTTTATGTTTTATATTTAAATTCACTTGTTTGGTTTGAGTAACAATGTAACAATATTTGTTGTGTATTTCTGAACAGACTTGGTGTTTTAAGTACATAGAGTAACAAAAGGGAAATGTGCATTAAAGATGCATGAGTCATATGTTCATACATATGTTGTA